TGATATCATTCGTTATTCTTCCTATATGAGAACTATACCTCTATAACAATCCTTCTCTACCTTGTTCATGATATCATTCGTTATTCTTCCTATATAAGAACCGTACCCCTATATCAATCCTTCTCTACCTTGTTCGTGATATCATTCTTTATTCTTCCTATATGAGAACCCTACCTCTATATCAATCCTTCTCTACCTTGTTCATGATATCATTCTTTATTCTTCCTATATTTTTAGTATTGGCGCCATGGCTACCCTCTACGTCATGCAAGACTCCAAACAAAATGGTTACCCTGGCGACGCGTCAGAAGCTTTCATCAAAAACACGCCTGGCACTACAACAATCTTTCTTCTTAATACTACCACTACCCCCAGGGGTTCAAGTGTCACAACGAGGTCGACCACGAAGGATCCCAGTTCGTCGCCAATGGTAACGGAATCAACAACGGAAGCTAGAAATACTGAAGAAGGGAGAACCACTGGCATTCATAGATTTTCCGTACACCCTGGTAGGTAGAGTAAAAACTGTTACTACTGGTTTTATTGTTACGCGCTCATCGAGACAACAGTAGCGACATGAAAATCGGTCAATAGACTTCCGTCAATCAAAGAAATCGTTGGTTTCCTTAAAACTGGAATAAAGTAAAAATAAAAGCAAAGGCTGTAAAAATAAAACTTAAAATAGCATAAAAATTAATCGTCGCGAGCAGGATTCGAACCTGCGCGGGGAGACCCCATTTGATTTCTAGTCAAACGCCTTAACCACTCGGCCATCGCGACTTACAAAGGTTTCGGCTAATAGATAACTATTTCAAATATTGTTGGCGAAAKTTTTGTTGTATGTTGCATACTAAGCACGAAATACATTATGGATCRTATGTAAATAATGTCAGAACTGAAGAAATTATGGCAGAAAAAAAATGCAACGTTTAGGAAGATTCCATATCGTTCGGACATTTCGCTTATTGCATCCACATCGCCCTTATGCAACATACAACAAAATTTTCACCAAACCTCCTTTTTCTTAAAAGAGCTGTATTAAAATGCCAAGTAACTCTATCAAAAATAAATYYTTAATGTTGGCAAGAATSTAAAGACTTAATGTAAGATAAGCATATAAATAGTTGCGATGGCCGAGTGGTTAAGGCGTTGGACTTGAAATCCAATGGGTTTTTCCCGCGCAGGTTCGAGCCCTGCTCGCAACGAGATATATTTTATTTTACTYCAAAAAATCGAATAGACCGTTTTCTCAAGGTTGCGTGCGCATCCAATTTTAAGGAACTTGACGGGCCACGATACCAGAACATGAGTAWYATCATGCATTGCTATGAAATCTTTTTCGATAAGAATTCTTAAAATCGATTATTCTCCTCTTTGAATATAAAACTGTCTTCTCAATTTTACTGAATTTGCGTTTTKCAGTTTTGTGGCCCGTCAAGTTGGATGCGCGCACAACCTTGAGAAAACGGTCAATTGAAGCAAGTAATATATTTTGTGTAGAATATTTGTTCTCTCTCACGTCTCAAAACACTATAACCACAATCCTTTTTGATTTTGTTGGCATTAGCATTGAACGTTAAACACTTTGAAAGAGACCCTGCAATTGAAAATGTCTAGCATTATGAGCACTCTTTGATTCTATTTTAAGAATCATTCATGTTGTTTGTTTCGTCTGAAAGGCTATGCGACCTCGCCTGAAATAATCTTCAACCAATCAGGTTCTTTTCCCAAAATACATCAAAGCGAAAATCTTTTAACGGTGCTTATTATCGATAGAAGCCTTAAGACGGGAGATTCCTCTCCAGCCATTTTTAGCCGTTGGTTAGGTAGGAAACTGGGTCGAGTCTGCATTGCAGTACATTGTGGGACTGTTTTAGAAAACAAAATAGACGCCATCTTGGAAATATGTACCCTGAAAGAGTCCCAAAACCACTCGGCCATCGCTACTGACATATACTCTTGTCGCACCAAGAGCCTCAAGTAACAAGCCAAGGCTCCAGAGA